ACTATTCTACTCTTTCTCACTACTCCCCTCCGAGGTACAATCACAACTATTCTACTCTTTCTCACTACTCCCCTCCGAGGTACAATCGCAACTATTCTACTCTTTCTCACTACTACCCTCCGAGGTACAATCACAACTATTCTACTCTTTCTCACTACTACCCTCCGAGGTGCAATCCCAACTATTCTACTCTTTCTCAGTACTACCCTCCGAAGCTCAATCACAACTATTCTAGTCTTTGTAACTATTACCCTCCGAGTTACAATCACAACTATTCTACTCTGTTTCACCACTACCCTCCGAGGTACAATCACAACTATTCTACTCTTTCTCACTACTACCGTCCGAGGTACAATCACAATTATTCTACTCTTTCTCACTACTACCCTCCGAGGTACAATCACAACTATTCTTCTCTTTCTCACTACTACCGTCCGAGGTACAATCACAACGAATCTATTCTTTCTCACTACTGCCCTCCGAGGTACAATCACAACTGTTCTACTCTTTCTCACTACTACCCTTCGAAGCTCAATCACAACTATTCTACTCTTTCTAACTACTACCCTCCGAGATACAATCACAACTATTCTACTCTGTTTCACCACTACCCTCCGAGGTACAATCACAACTATTCTACTCTTTCTCACTACTACCGTCCGAGGTACAATCACAACTATTCTACTCGTTCTCACAACTACCCTCCGAGGTAGAATCACAACTATTCTACTCTTTCTCACTACTACCCTTCGAGATACAATCCCAACTCTTCTACTCTTTCTCACTACTCCCCTCCGAGGTGCAATCCCAACTATTCTACTCTTTCTCACTCCTGCCCTCCGAAGCTCAATCACAACTATTCTAGTCTTTGTAACTATTACCCTCCGAGGTACAATCACAACTATTCTACTCTTTTTCACTACTACCCTCCGAGGTACAATCCTAACTAGTCTACTCTTTCTCACTACTACCCTCCGAGGTACAATCACAACTATTCTACTCTTTCTAACTACTACCCTCCGAGGTACAATCAAACCTATTCTACTCTTTTTCACTACTACCCTCCGAGGTACAATCAGAACTATTCTACAATTTCTCACTACTACCCTCCGAGGTACAATCTCAACTGTTCTACTCTTTCTCACAACTACCCTCCGAGGTACAATCACAACTATTCGACTCTTTCTCACTACTACCCTCCGAGGTACAATCACAACTATTCTACTCTTTCTCACAACTACCCTCCGAGGTACAATCACAACTATTCTACTCTTTTTCACTACTACCCCCCGAAGCTCAATCACAACTATTCTACTCTTTCTAACTACTACCCTCCGAGGTACAATCACAACTATTCTACTCTTTTTCACTACTACCCTCCGAGGTACAATCACAACTATTCTACTCTTTCTCACTACTACTCTCCGAGGTATAATCACAACGAATCTATTCTTTCTCACCACTGCCCTCCGAGGTACAATCACAACTGTTCTACTCTTTCTCACTACTACCCTCCGAGGTACAATCACAACTATTCTACTCTTTCTCACTACTACCCTCCGAAGCTCAATCACAACTATTCTACTCTTTCTAACTACTACCCTCCGAGGTACAATCACAACTATTCTACTCTTTTTCACTACTACCCTCCGAGGTACAATCACAACAATTCTACTCTTTCTCACTATACAGTCCGAGGTACAATCACAACTATTCTACTCTTTCTCACAACTACCCTCCGAGGTACAATCACAACTATTCTACTCTTTATTCTACTCTTCGAGGTACAACCACAACTATTCTATTTTTTCTCACTACTTCGCTCTGAGGTACAATCACAACTATTATAATCTTTCTCACTGCTACCCTCCGAGGTATAATCACAATTATTCTATTCTTTCTCACTGCCACCCTCCGAGATACAATCACAACTCTTCTCTTTCGCACTATTATTCTCCGTGGTACAATCACAACTAACATCTTCTTTCCCACTACTACGCTCCGAGGTACAATCACAACTATTATATTGTCTCTCACTACTACCTTCCGAGGTAAAATCATAACTATTCTGTTCTTTCTCACTACTGCCCTCCGAGATACAATCACAACTATTCTACTCTTTCTCACAACTACCCCCCGGGGTACAATCACAATTTTTCTACTATTCCAATTTTGGGTGTTTGGATTCAATCGAAGTTGCAGGTTAGGTGAGTTTCTTCTGCATAAGCGACTTCTCAAATGTTTTTTTTTTCTACACAACAAGTTGTCGTTCTCGGAAATGTCAGTTTTTCGATTGTTTGAGCGATCGTTTTCTAAATTTAATGAATTTTATCAAAAAACCCTCATAGATTTGAGATGTTAAGCTCAATCCAAAGAACGGGTTGTGGCAAGCTACTTGGAACACGCGAGTTCACCCAAATTTTTGAAACAAAAACTTATGGCCCACTTTTTGATTTTTGACTGTTTTTGGAGCGTTTCTCGATATCTATCCTTCTAAATCTGATATAGGATTGATCGTTTTTAATTTTAATGTTTGCTGTGTCTAATTTTTTTGATTAAAGTTATGGCCTTAAAACAAGTGAAAATTTCGAAATTTTGGCCATCTTTGGAAGTTTTTGGAAGTAAGTGATTTTACTCGAAAATTGTCGTACCTTTTATCAGGTGAAGTGTTCAATCGAAAATCCTATTTTGCTATTCTTTTCAACCTCAACGGCAACGACCTGTTTTTGGCAGAAAAAGTTGACGGATTTTGGAAAATCAAGTGTTTGAACGTTGACGGTTTTTCAGATTTATGAATTGTCTTAAAAACTACCCTATTAAGTCTGAGATGAAAAGATCAATCAAAAGAAGCGGTGGCGCAAGTTTTTTCAGCAGAAGCGGCTACTTTCGTTCATTTTTTTGGAGAGAAATGCGTCTTTAGTACATTTTTTACTCCTATTTAATTTAGAAGAAGCAAATAAGGTTTTAGGCAAAGTCCAATTTTTGAAATTACGCATTTCTTAACGCATCAGTGTAACAAATTCATAAAATATCAAACGTTTGCATTCAGCTTTAGCTGGGCATTAGGTGTCCTTTCTCGAGTTATTTAAAAATTTTGGTTCAACCAGTTTTTTTTTCAACCTTTATTTTTTTTTTCATTTTTTTGTTTTTGTATCGCTCCGCTTCGCTGGTGTCGGAAATTTAAACAGAAATTGGCTATTCTGCTGGCTTTTCCAACGCTTTTTGGTTTGTACTCGGTCATTCTTAAAGAACCTGATGCTATTCCCAGAAAAGTCCTTGCCACTAAACCCCTGAAAAGCCCTGTTCGTTGAAAAAAACTCTGGCTCCTTTTCTTCACATTTTTGTTGCTTCCTCTGCGACTATTAAATATATCAGTTTATTTTTGTTTTCACGAATGCTAAATGAAACTACTTGGAAAAACTTAGCTGCACCAAATTTGAGATTTCTTGATTCGAAGGCGTGAAATTTTCAGAAAAGCGTAGCTTGTGTTAGAGATGTTCTCGCTGTGGAATTTTTCTCTTAAACAAAATAAGGAATTAGAATCTATGAGCTCAAACTGGAAAATGACAAGCTCGATTTGTTTTTAATCCGCCGAAAATTGATAGAGAAGAGTTGAAAGAGTTACTTCGTCCGATGTTAAAAAGTGGTTTTGACCATAGCGAGATCAAAAAGTCTTGGGCGCCACCCAAGTTGATTTCATCCGCTACCCAAAGAACCAATTTGAGCCCATAAATTCAGTTTCCGTATATTGTTTGCGAGGAAATTTCCCCAACAAGAACACATCTAAAATTACTGGATATTTTACGCCTTCGAAATAAGTCCTTCTGAATAGTTTTATCGAAAATTTGCAAAAGTTCGGCCCTAAATCTTAATTAGTTGCAGAGAAAACGACAAACACGTGAAGAAAAGTTCGTTCATTTCTGCGTTCAAATCGAACTGTTTTATGTCCCGTGACTGTAGATCAGAATAGTAACTCACGTTTGCCGAAAACGTTTTAAATGGTCCCAAAAACACCGTAAAAACAAAAGTAATCGGCACAAATTGAAGTTACCATCTGCAAATTTCCAACAATGTTTCACGTGCGATTCTTTTGTGTGCAGTTATTGAAAAGGGCCAATGTGGGATAAATAACCAGATATATTTTGGAATACTTTAATGTATGATACAAATTATGATATCTATTAACATCTATCATAGGCCGCTACATTTTGGATCTAGAAGTCTATGATTGTAAATTCAATCAAGGCTAGATGCATGATATAAGACTTCTTAGTAGCTAGAACATTGTTGAAAGATGCCCGAGGGAAAAAGAGCCCGGCTTGAGGGCACGAAGTGCACGAGGGCGGATCTTTTGCCCGAGGCCATCTTCAACTATGTTCTAACTGTTGAAGAGTATGTTTTTGCTCTTTCTGTTTGTTTTGGAGGACAGAGACGAATATTGTAATTAAAAGTAAAGTTGAGAGTACAGTTTTGGGGGTTATTAATCACAACTCGTACTTGTACACAGAATCCATGTTTTCTTCGATTCACTTTTTTTCAATTGTTATAATCTGGCTTTCAAAAAAAGTGCCCGGAAAATTGTGAAAGAGCCCAGAAAAGTGCGCGAAACTATGCAAATGATTTCATTTTTCTTTCATGCCTTGTCGTGATAAAAACATGTGTGAAAGAGCAGAAACATACTCTTCTTATGAAATGCGTATGCATTCACTTTCTCAAAAAATAAACGTTTGAAAGTTAGGGATTAACAAACGATTTTCTTAAATTAAAATCTGCTTCGGACACGTTGAATGTTAGGAAAACTTTCAGACCCTTTCTATTATAGGAGAAGTTTCGTTTTTGCTGTTGTTGCTTATTTCTTAACTGTCGTTCATTATTATGTTTTCTTCTTCTTTCGAGTGGGTTATGTGATGGACAACAACCGGTAACCGGCTATGTTTGTTCTTTATTGTTTCCTCTGTTTCCTGTTGTGTGGTTTTTTAGTGTAATGTGGTGTTGTTTAGTCGTTCTTTTCGACCATAGTGAAGGCGTCTCCCATGTGCAACAGAGTGAGGCCGACCGACTTGAAGTTCGCCAACTGGGCCAACAAGACTGGCTGCACCTGCAGTGAGAAGAGCACAGTGGACTGGTGTGGCTGCTCTCCCCTCGTCATCCGCAACATATCCACCTTCCCAATCTACCAATCAGACATCAAGTCTTCCAACGTCAGTCGTCATACTTCATCCACTCTACCAACCATTGTCTCATTTTACCCCAATTTATGTCACACAATTCAACCTTTCATTGCACCATTTTTGTGCAAGATTGAATTATTAGCGCCTTCCAGCAATTCTGAGTTGCTTGAGCTCTTTTCGCTTAATTAAACCGCATCCAATTCCGCTCTATCGAAGTGTAGTGTTTACATCCTGACATCTAAGATTAAAGTATGCGTGAATTTATTTAGAGTCGATGAACGTCTCGATGATTTTTTTTGGGCTCAAATTTATTTATTTTTTGGTTCGACTCTTGATTTACTTTCAGTTCATTTACTTTGGTAAAAGGAACAAGCTCCACTATCAAACATTGAAGGTCTAGAGGTCACAAAAACTTGATCGACTTCTACTTTCGAAAATGGAATTTAATTGTCAGATATCCCAGCGAAATAAAATTTTTACCCATTGATCCCATTTTTGTCAAATTGGATCAACTTGTTCTAAAAACAAGTCAGTTTTTTTTTGTTTACTTATGTTCATTGACTCTTTTCCAACATTCCATTGGATATGTTCTCCTGGCCGATATTGAAAAGCAATTAAATTTCTGTATTAAATCAATTTTCTGGAAAGTTTAAATAAAGTGAAGCATTGGGTGCAATAAATAATTGGGGGCAAAGCCCTGAACGTCCCGATTGTCCCGTAATCCATATTGAATAGTTTTTGGGAAAATTTTGAAAAAATATAAAATATGGACAATGTCAACGATCAAGTGAAAAAGTTTGGGTCGTATGAAAATAATACGACCGATAAGCCAGTCTAATTTCAATTTGGAACGATTTTGTTGTGCGGGATAATTCGCCGCGCAGAAAATGTATTTCGCGTTATGCTTACAGTATAATTGATACAATCTTCAAAGAGCGCATAAGTTAGTCCAGAGCATGGCCAAATTTGCAATTTTCAAACTCCCAAAAGTTTGTAAAAAATTATCGGTAGTAAAATATCTTCAATGGGGTATGTTTTTTATGTTAAAAACTATTATTTCGGTCGCCGAATTTTGATTTAAAAAAAACACCCCAAGCGTAAATATTCCTTTTTCTTCGAAAGCCGGAACAATAAAGTCCTCATTTTCCTCTAAAGAATTCCTTTTTTACACAAGCATAGCTTGTGTTATACTATGAACTTTCTTTTTTTTCAACCTAAGACGCAAATATTGTTGCGATGTAATTGTTGCGACAGAATGTGTTCATTTTGAAAGTTCATTTTGATCCAGCTATTAAGTACAGCCAATGCTAAGGATATTAACACAGACAATTGTTTTACAAATAGCGTTTTAGCTTCAAGGTATCATGGATCTGGAGTGTAGATGTAGGGAAGGAGACCCACAGCAAAATTAGAGGTTTCAAACCTGGGCAGAATTGGGTATTTTAATTTTTTTTTCGGATACCAGCTAAAATGCGTCCACTCTATAAATTTTCGGTCATTTTTTTACTTGTGTATGCGAAGTGCAGCTTCGCTTCTGTGTCGATTTTTGTTGTGACTACATTATTGTTTTCGGGTCAAGGGGAGTCGGCTTAGTTGCCGCTAAATAATATTTGCATACTTGCTAATTTAACTTTTTTTTCCATATTGACTCTACTTTTTCTCCTATATTGAGGTACAAAAAAGACGTATCATCAAAAGTTAGAGCTATCAATTTTACTTACACCAGCAATCGCTTGTGTTATATTTTGAGGTAACTATTTAACCTTACTTATTTTGTGCCAATTTTGCTGCACTTTCGCTTTTGCAATATAGCGCTTTAGCATTGGCAATTTAAACATTTTATTTTATCCGGTTTGTTGTCGGAAACTGCTTGGAGAGTTAAAGAATATATGACCAAGTAATTTGCTCATTAGACTCCCAATCTGGGGGCCTGTGGTTCGATCATCGAGTAGATGAACGTAATTCAGACTCTCATAGATCGTGATGATTTTTTTTTTCCAGGAAAGTCATAAAACCATAAAACTTGTTCAGGCTCTAATTCACTTTTTTGCGGTTTGAGTTTTGAGTTCTGTTTAAGTTAATTTCTTTTCTTTTATTAAAAGAAAGAACGTCAAACTCCACTATCAAACAGCGAAAGCATAAAGCTCACGAGTAATGTGGTTGTCTTCTAATTTCGACAACGGATTTTAATAATTAGAATTATCAGCGAAATAAAATTTTTGTTTACTAATCCTGTTTTTCTCAGATTGGGTTGATTTTATCAAAACAGAGTTGAAAAAGTCTTCTAGAAATTCAAAGAGCTTGAAGGCCTGTTTTTTTCTTCAAAATTTGAAAATTGAGTTTTTGTCAAAAAACAAGCCAGTATTTTTTTTGTTTACTTGTTTTATTTGACTATCTTCCCAATTTTCCGTTAGCTAAACTTAGATTTATTTTTAAATTTGTTGTTCAACATAGTTTATGGATAAAAATTTGCTTTGTCAATCCTCTCCTTATGTATTTTTTTTGATATGTATCAGTATAAAATGCCTGACTAATTTTTAAAACAGATTCAGATTTTATATTTTTGTACATTTGAAGAAACATCAATTTTTTCTCTATTTAAAAAAAAAATTGTTCGGCTTAATAAAAATCTTTCAGAATTTCTCAGTGGCAGAGAAAAACGATCCGAATATATTTTTATTTGCTCTTCAGGCTTGTTCACAGTACAGCAGCCTAAATTAAAGATTTTAAACGAGAAAAAAAAACTTTTAATTTTGTTTCAGCTTAAATTTTGTTTCAGTATTTGTTTCAGATTATGTAGCCTCCTATAAGTCTTTTTTGTTATTCGTTTTTTTTTGCAATTGTAACTGTTGTTGCAAGGTTCTGGGCTACCTGCACTATAGCAGAGGTTCTCATTCTTCCTACCAAGAAGTACCAATGTTTGTTTTGGGTTTTTCCACGCGTACGTTTGTGTTATAATACGACCTATTTTTTCAACCGAAGTTATATGTTTTGTTTTCAATGGTTGTGGTTTTTCGGCCAACCTTCGTACACGCGAGTTCAATCCTCTTTTAACGAGCCACCGTGAGTTTTCAACGTTGTAATTTTGACCCTGAAAATCTTTCTTCTGGTTTTTTCCATTGTGACTTGCTTCCCAAGTAAGGGAAGAAACAAAGTTGGAGGTTCAATATCCATTCTCTTTTCTGTGAGAAATCCAATTTTGTTTTGTGCGAAAAAAGGAATTCTTTTGTTTTAACTACCAATATAGCTGAGCGTATATTTTTTGGTCCCATTTGCCCGGTGGCCGAGTTCAAATCGCAATCGAAGACCAAAAAAATATTGTGATTTTTTCTAAAGTTTTCCACTTGCTTATTTTGCAGAATTGAAACATTTTAAGTTTTTCCAGTTCTTTTTTCGGAGAGGTCGGTTGTTGATTTTATCTGTTAGAAACTCCCAAACTGACTAGACTTGCTCGAATCTCCATTCAGGTAAAAAGCTTTTTTTGAAAATTACCAAACCTATGTTCAATTTGTTTCGAGTTGGAACCTTCGTATCTCCTGAATTTTCAAAAAAACACTGCAGATTTCAGTTCTATCGTTTAATTGATCAGTTGTTTTGAATGAAACTAAATTCGAGTGTGCGGATTATCTTGTAAGCAAAATATATTTTTTCACTTTTGTCCTTTCAATCATGTAAATGATTTTATATCGGTTCTCTTCTCCTCATTGCCATTAACTGTGTCTATACGAGTAGCTGATTGTGAAATGGTAATGCAGTTGAGCACTATAGCAGAGGAGCCTGTTTGAGTCCCAGATACACCAATGCAGTTTATTCTAACACTTTTTACTTTAATCGGTTTGAAGTTACTCAATTCATTGGATTTAAATTGCTTTGAAGGTCTTTCTAGTGAATAGAAACGTACAAACATGCCAGGCTGTTGCGCGTCCCCACAAGGGTTTGAGCGGAAAAGCTCCGCAATTTTTTCAATCTAATTTTAATATTGCAAAACGACCATGTGGTTCGGTGTTCAAAAATATGCTAATTGTTAAACCAATGTAACGTGCTTGGCGCAGTTGGTAGCACGGGTGATTGGTGAGCATTACGTCAAAGTTCTATTCCAGGTGCAATTTTCTTAGAGCGGTTTGACCTTAAAAGGATTAAGTTAATTGTGAAGAGGTAAAGCAAAGCGTGCAAATAGCAAAAAGCCCTGAATAGGTTCAGTATATATGTATACTTCCCCAGTTCTATTAGAGATTTAGTAGCGCATTTAATGGTGCCTGGTTTTAACTATTTTATGATGTGTCAACATCAATTAAAAGATGTGTTTTCAATATCGAGCTTACGAGCATAGTGTATTAGTTTGAACTTATCTTTTCTTCCAACACCAGGTCGCAAAAAAAGCCCTCAAGTTGGTGGCCTATTTGCTATAATCACAAGCTATAGCATCTCTTCTCTGCTTTACTTGCGGCTAGTGTTTGGTGATAAGCTTCTTTGGCAGAATGGGAAGGATGTGAGACTCTTCATCTCGTTGTCTTTGGTTGGAACCAATCCGTCACGCAGTAAAAGGTTTACTAATTTGAGGATTATTATTTTTTGTTTCTACAGCTGATTTTTGGTCGTTTTCCCGCTAGTGTTTGCGAAGCTTCGCCTCTGTGGTAGTCATTTAGGCAGTTTTTGACTCCCAATCGATTGCGATCTTCGTATCCCGTTGTCGGCTAACTTTATTAGTTTTGTTCTCACCACATTGACGCACGTGTCAAAAACATTACTCAAGATTAGTAAACTTTCCAGAAGCAGTAATTTTTTATCGCAACGTTTCAGACTTAATAATATAAATCAAGTTTCAAAAGGCAATGTCATATACCTTAGCAAGCAAATCCACTCATTCAGCTAAGAAGTTTTTGATGTTTTTGGGTATTAGTTGAAATGTCTCATGTAGACTTGTGTGTGCGGTAATGAAAGTTACGAATACCATAGCTCTCAATCTCCCTTTCTCTCATCTCATGTGAGATATTTAGGATTTGGACTATCCCTCACAATCCTTCATTGTCCCCAACATAGTTCTCTAGTCTCTCTTTTTCGTACCGTTTTTTTTCTGATTCCGATATTCTCTGTCGCGCTTTTACCTTTTTGTTTCTTCTTCGATCGCTTCTTCTAATCTTAGTGATGGTGGTCTTAAGGGCGCTGTGGGTAGATTGCAAAGCAAAATGTTCACGTCTGTTTTCTTTCGCGAATATCGCCATCTGTAGTCCCACAATCCATTTTGACCTTTCCATCGGTGGTTGCGTCGTGTGTTTGTGCCAAAAAGTTGGATTATTCTGCGGATTCATCTGATTCGAATCATATGACTGCGCCATGTTGTATTGTATATCTAATGAGTAGCGTATTTTTTACAAGAATTTCGTATCCGTACGGATTCAAGTTCCGTGTCACGACTAACTGCAATCCTCGGTTTAGGTAACAAGATAAGGCGATCAAGGTCACCGTCTTTTGAGTAGCCTTCAAGGCCGAACATAAATGTTATTGCTCATAATTAACTTAGTATAGCATTTATATAAAGTAATACATAACGGATATAAATATATGATCCGGACGGGAAAAATTGCCCCCCTTATAGTCTTTAGTCTCTCAATTATTAATTCATGTTGCTTTTAGAGAATTAAACCGGGACAAGTTTTTTTCACTACACATAGTTACGTCCTATAAGAACTGATAAACGGCAGCCCGTGGGACGAACGATTGGCCTCTTCTGATCCGTCCTATAGAGTAGCATCGAGTTGTCTCTCAAAACAGAAGGAAATGGAATAGAAGCCGAGCTTTGTTTTTTTTTGAAATTTGGATCTTAAATCTACAACTAGCACCTCTCTCCTACTATGCCCTCCTCCCCGACCGTTATTTCCCTGCCCAACAAAAATGATAAAAAAACTTAAGGTTTTTTCATTTTTTTCCAGAAATTGCACAAGAAATTGAAAAAAGTTTGGGGTTTCAAGCTATAATCACTAAACAAGAGCATTATTGCGCACTCACCCAAAAAATATTGTTACCACAAATATTGTCACCACAAATGCTAATTGGTGTTTACTTACATCGTGAGCAGTTAAATTGTCAAAGTTTTCTGAAGTATCGTCCACGAGATAAGATTTTGAATTGATATTGTTGGTTAATATATTGACTTTTATAAGCATTATTTATTAACATTTAGTTTTTCTCCGTGGGTTGCATTTAATATTGATCTAAAATTTACCTTAGCTCACCTTTCTGTAACTTGTTTGTGTGAACTGCAAATTTGTTTTTTTTAAATACTGCGATTGTTCTCGTTCATAAAACGTGCATCGCACTTTGTTTTTTTTCGTGTTGTGTGCAGATGTCTAGACGACCTCGCTTCTTCGCGCGCAAATTCGACTCGACAATTTCACTGTCAGCCATCAATGAGGTGGACACATCTCTGAATGAGCGAATAGGCACCCCCTTGTCCCCATCAGTGGGAGAGGGAGGGAGTTGGAACAGCTACTGGCTCAACTTCTTCCACCACTCATTCGACAGAGTAGAAGTGAAGAAGAGTGTGACCACCCCCCTCAAGTACATCTCAGCCGCCATCATCATGCAACACCTGCCCCCTCACATCATAGCCCCCCATCACTCCCTCCCAGGTAAGTAACATTATTCACACACAGTCAGTCTATACTGACTGTTGTTATATATATTTTGGCGAAGGTAATTAAGTCATGAGTTCATAAGCATATTCTCTTGGTATAATTTGCAATCTGTTCTTTCGTGAATTGCTTTTTATTTTGCGTTAAGTGATTTCTAGCCTATCCGTTTTTCGAAAACGATAGCTTCTCTCAGCAGAAAGCTTGGTCTTAGGAGGCCTTGAGTTCGATTAAATCACAAATCAATTTTAAATTTTTTATTTTTTATGACTAATCATCACGACTAAACAAGACCTAAATTGTGCTTCTATTGTGAATTGTTGTTTGCTTTGTTCTCATAATTGAGAGTGTGTTTAGAAGTGGAGGCGAAACAAATGCGAGCAGACCACTTCTACTCTCATGACAAGTATGTGGGGGATGTGATCACGCTCTCCCTCTCTACCTCCTCGTACAAGCAGCAGGGGGAGGGGGAGGGAAAGGGGAACGTTGTGATGGTGCAGACTCTGGTGACTCGGAAGGAGAGGGAGAAGGAGAACTACTTTGACCCACAGATATTCACTTCCTACGCCCAGGCTAGTACAATGACCCCCAAGTATCAAATGAATACATCACTCTTATAATAGAACAGACAGACAGCTCTTATCGGCTGTTATTACAACACAACTGACTTAAGTGATTGGTTTACGATACACAGACACTAATACACAAGCCCAGCTCCTATTCTAACAATAGCCATTTTTTATAATAAAAGTCGAAATGTTGGGGGCTATTCAGGAAGTATAGATTTTATGCCCACCCATTCTTGGGCTATGGGTTGTTGCCTCTCGCTAGCAACGAACACGGATTGTGGCTGGCCTCAAATCACCGACTTTTGAATGAAACGCTTAGACATAATCAAATTCACCACTGCTCTTCCTTGCATATAGTTTTTAATTCGCCTCCTTTGCTTTTGACATGCATGCATAAGTGGTTCTGCCGTTCTCTGTAGACTAATCAGCACGGTGCATCATGTTGAAATTATGATAGGGGGTTGAAGAATGCTAGTTGTTGCTAGTTTGCTGCTAATTTTTGACAATGTCTGTCGCGGCTGTTTGTTGCTAGTTTTTGACAATGTCTGTCGAAACGGCTGACTTGGGCTTTGTTCACGAAGTTTAGAGCTCTGGTTTTGCATGCTGTTATTTGCTGTCATAGAAGTTTAACACCAGTCTTCCTAATTCATTTGGGAGGTGTAGAATTATAGTCTTGGGAGGTGCGGGTATGTTTAGCTTACGGTAAAGAGAACGTAAAACGAACAAAAAACGAAGTTCTCGCTGAACATTAGCGACATAGACAACACGCAAGGTTAGAAACCTCTATGCGGTTGACCTTGGTACGATAATAATATAATAACGTAATACATAATTCCACACCGTTCGTATTGCGAATACACCAAACTCATTTTCGTTTTTCTCGGTATCCCATTCTTGTATGACATTTATTTCATATTGGGTAAATTCTGAATCATTAACTTGATTAACGCATGTTTTCTTAGAGTTTTTTGCAAAATGTCTACGTTCCCTACAATTGTTATAAATGATGTTTCGTGCAGTGCAATGTTCTCTGTGGTTTGGGTTCAACCAATTCCCGCACTTGTGGCATTTATTTTGCCGTTTGCCTTCAACTTAGTTCACGGGTTCACGTTTTATATACCCTGACTGTTGACTCCCCACGTTGGTCGATCGCCCTGGGGTGAAATTACCTCTTTCAAACTTCGGAAGACCGCCGCTGACCTTTTTATACATAATTTCACCTCTCTCTTACCACTGCAAATTGTAACGAGTCCGATGGGAGCAATGTCTCCATACTCAATTGTTTGTGAATCTTCTTGTTTTGCATGTTGAAAATAAACACTTCTAAAACTATTGATTCCTCCTTGGGACCGAAATCACAACCCCGGGATAAATGACTCAATGCGCAGTAAAACTGCTCCATCCCTTTGTTCTCCCGTTGTTTAAGTCCGAACAAAATAAAGCGACAGTTCGTCAAATTGGGCTCCTCCATAAAAACATCTCTAGCCAACTTCCAGAGCTCGTTGGAAATATTTTCGACAATCTTGATGCGAGGGTGTTTCTGAAAATTTACCGCTGGCTTCGTTTTCCGAGAGATAGGAATAACTTTGATTTAAGACTTTTATCTGCTTCTCCTCTACTTATTCCCTTGAAAAACGCTTCTCCTCCTCTAATCATCGGGTTTCTTCAGTTTGCCATACTTTTAAAACTCTTTCAGTACGTGCCTCTCTATCCGATTTCATTTGAGCGTCTTCCCTTCCCTGTGGTTCTTCCAATGTTGGGTACTCGTTCGCAGACAACGTATTTTCAGCAAGTATGTTTTCAATGTCAATTTCTTCTTTCGCAATTACGGTGAGCTGAAATCGTTGTGCCCAATCATCCTAAGCTACCGGCTGTTCTTGGGTCAGTCCGTTCCAAAACACATCCAGCTCGCGATAGTTTGATTCCGTATGTGACTGCGCCATGTAGAACTATTTTCATTGGAGGTACGTGTATGTTAAGTTTATGGCAAAGAGAACGTAAAAAGAACAACTTCAATTCTCGGTGAACACTAGCTCCAATGGCAACACGCATGGTTAGCAACCTCTATACGGTTGAACTTGCCATTACAATAAATATAAATAACGTAATACATAATACGTAATAATCATATATTTTCTTATATGCTTCACCATAGGAGGAAGCGCGTTTTTTTTTCAAAATGAAAAACAAAATGAGTTTTTTTTTTTTTCAAGAATGTGATCTGTTCACAAGGATTTTATCACAAGGAAAAAGGAGTTATACTTAAAAAGTTATCTTTAACGGTTACCGAGTACTGCGCCTCAAGTATTGTCCTACTTCTATTAAATTTCAACTCTCCTCCAAAATATAAGCCGAAGCATACAATTCTTTGACAATTTACTTGCCCGGGCTTCACTGGGAACGCGGAGAACTCTTGTATTGAATTTTAATTGAAATAATTCAAAATTGTGGGTTAAAAATTACAAGGCTGTTTTCTAAGCAATAAAAAAAGAAGGTAGATTTTTCATCCAAAAACTTGGGCATCAAAGTAGGGAACCTTTTCGGTTTGTGCTTTCCAGGGTTGAAAATGTTTATTCGAAAAGCTTTCACGCTGTAGAGCAAATGTGCCTCACAACGCCTAATAACAAATATGTTTAAAAAAATCTGTGTGCTCTAAAAATTCCAAAGGCTACTAAAATTGGCTGAAAATGATCTTAAGCGAAATTGGAAACATACCTTTCAAAATTCAGTGCTTTAATCTGGGATTACAGCGGAGACTGATTAGGATTTCAGTGCTGAAAAAAAAATTTCACAGAGACATTTATTTTAGAGGCATTAAAAGGAACAGATAACAGTTTTTGAAGACGACCTTGTTGCCGGAGGAGCAGGGGTGGATCTAGGATTTTCTCGAGGGGTGGGCGGATTTTCAAAAAATTTTCGAAATTTTTGTCGACATTTTTTTTTGGTCGACCGAATTGATTTTTCGAGCTCCTCCCTAAGCCTGTTTAGTCCCTATTTTGGCCAAATTTTGTGTGCCGCAGTCAAAATTTTGAAAAAACAGTCCGAATAAGGCATTTTTATGTACTTTTTGGAAAGTTTTGACCAGAAAATCGCGTTTTTTGGCGCGCGCTTCCCCCTTAAATTTAGTATACATTGGTGCCGAAGGCTCCTTTAGAAAAATTTAAGGGTTGGTCGGCCAAAACTGGATTTCTTAAAAATACCAAAGGGGGGACCCTTTGGGTCGGCAGGGGGTCGAACCCCTGAAGGGAGGGGGGCGTCCGCCACACCCAACACCCCCCCCCCCCTAAATCCGCCCCTGCGGAGGAGGGTTTTTCACTGATTCATATATTCTTTTACTTCCAACTATTTAAATATGCGGGAACTTTTAGGGAGCAAGTGAGGAGTTTATACGAATTTGCTAAATTTGCTAGCCTTAGTACCCAAAAATCAACAAGTAGTTCTGCTGGATCTACTCATCATTGCGGCATGAAAGGCTTTGATGTTTTTAGTTATAAATAACTTATTCCTACTCAGCTATGGTCTCGAACGGTTGATCTAAAAACAAGCCTTTTCATTTTAAAAAACCAATCAAGAGGTTCAGGTACTTGAGTATCTTGAAAGGCAACTGAATTTTACAAAGTGTTTGAGAAATTGGTATAAATTGTTACTCAAGGACACAAGGGACATGTTTTAGTTGCTTAAAGCGCCGAACATCAGGTTCTGTGATATGAAGTTCAAACAAATTACCTTCTTGTCGCTCATTTTTTTAGTGGTCGTTAAATCTGGCACAGATCACGCTTATCACGAATGAACTCTGAAGATAATCCTGTAATCCTGTCATCAAGACCGCGAAGACCTCAAAAAGAAGATCCATAAACTGACCCTGGGTGCCGTTCATACTAACATCTGAAATATATATTGTTGCCACTCAAGAAAACATCCCTTGTTTCTGACTGAAGGCAAATTGACTGGAATTAAGTGATGAGCTAGATGAGGCTGTAAATATTGAATTGTACAATGCTATAGATACAATTCATCCACAAGAATCGATCTAAAAAAATCTGAAATTGATTAAGAAGTCAGACTAAGTTAAAATGAAAAAAAAAACTGAAAAACTCAGTGATTTATTTCCAACATGTCTTATAGCATACAGTTTTTTTTACATACAACAATAAACCAATAAACTAAGATTTGCTACAACCCTGCTTTCATATTGATTTCATCTGCTCCTAAGTTTGACAAAAGTTGGTTATGAATAAGTGAATATAACTCGCGGTCCAACCAACGACCACGGAACAACCGATTGAGCAAAGAATCAGAGGTCCTCAAAAACCCTCTTAAGAAAAGACGCAAAACCATAGTAGTTACCATTGTAGACAGAGAAAAACACAGAAAGCCCAGCAAACCAGACGAGATGAAGAAAAAACCCGAATCCTACGGAATGCCCCATTACGATTGAGATACATCATCGACTGAAAAGAAGCAGATGTAAGCAAAAAAAGATGACGAATCTATGTTTGCTGAAGAATTTTCATCAAAACAAATATACAAGTAAAGATCCATCTCTGTTTGGCAGTGTGACGATTTTGAACGTTGAATTGTGCGAAAATTTTGAAAGTTCCACAGTTAATTACTTACAGGTTTTTTACAGAAACTGTATACACAAAATTTTGAACAGTTTGCCGCAAAACATTGCGACTCAAAGTGATAGCGTATTACCTAAAACAAAAGATTGTTGGATGACTTGGCGTATGTTGATAAAATTGCTTAAGACATCAAAGAACACGAGCATCTTCTTGTTGCAGTTGGTTGCGTGTCCCCCTCCTGTTATCGTTCTGTATAACCATTGAAGTTGAAGTTTTACTAAGCGTTCATTGCTGGTTGATTGCTTAGTAATTTTATCCTAAGTTATAAGTCTCACCTTGGATCGTCAAGTTGTCTTGACAAAAGTTAGAGTAGAAACAATAGTTAGAAAAGGTATGAGTTAATTAGCTGGTTAAATACAAAGCACATGATTATTAGATTATATAAACGAATCGAACAGCTTAAAGAACATTACCTATGAGGGAGGTTGAGTTAATCTTATTTTGTTCATCAATATTTTATCTTCTTACTAAGGTCGATGATTGTTTAGTATTCTTGCGTCACCCTTGATTGTGTCCTTTTCTGCACTTCCAGTTGGTCGTCTGTATTGTCCTTGCCGTAGTCCTTTTAGTCCGTATGGTCCAGATTTCCTCGGTTGTGCGTATCTCGATTTATAATTTTATCGAATTTTGAACGCGAATTTTTTCTCTTTTTTATTTGGAAAAACGGCCAGTTTAATGTTATTGTTAAAGTGGAAAAGAAAAAAGTTATTTATTTTGAAAAAGTAGTTGTTAAGAGTTCTGACTTGCTGCTGACTGAGCAAATTGAAACACTGAAGATTTCAGGCCAGTCCTTTTACTCGTAAGCATAAACCGGCGGCTGATTCAATCTTTAATTATTCAGGTTTCACCTGCTCCTTTATTCTCCCATTCGTATAAGGGAATTTTCAACTATTTTTTTTTTGATTTTTTCAAATCAAATATCTTTAAATTGTTAGTCCTCTTTGATTAGAACCGCAGCCTTCAGTTTTATCTGATTAAAAATTCATAATACTCCCTCTGATGCATCATATTGCAGGTGCATCTCTGCTTAGTCAAAGCAAGGAGAATTTCAGTGCAGCCGGCAAGACTGCTAAATATTTATCCATTTTGTTTCAAGTTAAAGTTAAAAGGGACGTTTTAATAATCGCCGCCCCTTTAAAATAGTGAGCACGAAAAAAATTAGAGAAATTGGACAAGTATTTAAAAAGTAGTGGATTTTATAGTCCTAATAAGAGTAAATCAGTCAATATCTGGTTTTGTGAAGAGAGGCTTTAATTTAAATGGCACGCTCCAATCTAGAATTGGGTCGTTAAATAAACAATTAGGACAATGGTCTTTTGTCCGTGTAGTATTGTCAATACTACAAAGTGTTCAAACGAAAGAAGCCTTCAAATAAAAGTATTCAAACGGCAGATGCATTCAAACAAAAGACTAAATCAAACCAACCAACAGCTAAAAACTTGGGTAGATAAAGGCACAGCGCTGACGAGTTTGCTCAAACATTTGTGGTAAGAAGGGCACTGAAACGCATACAACAGTTATTGAAAAAGTCTGTTTTGGGGAAAGAAACGTTTGATCATTCAAAATGTTCTTCTTGGAGCACATGGACCTTATTTTGAACAAGCTTCAGAAATTCGTCTGCACTTAAAAACTCGAGAACGAATCGTGATGCGAGAATGGTCCCAAATGAAATGACCGAAAAGATGTTCCACGCTTATTTTCATCAGAAGCAGAACGATTGCAAAAATTATTCAACCGACCTGATACAACGGATACAAGCAATCTTTCTCTGACGAATATTTTGAAACACTTGGCATGCCATTAAAGAACCTGCCAATTTTCAATCTTATCGACAATAGTTGATTTTTCAGTCTTTTTTGTACACTTTTCCAACCGAAAATTGGCAATGTTTTTTTTTTGTATGGCGAACAGTGCGAAAAGCTACGCACTGATCTGTGTTTTGAAATTGAATATAAATTAGCTTCGGTACAATTCCCAGCTGGAAGCAAGTCGCTTTAATTCTCGCTAGCTTATGTTTCTGTGATTTCACTATCAACAGTTTTGTCAGTAGCGGATATGGAGGAGGGGTGGGGGACGCCCCCCCTCAGGGATTCGACCCCTTGCCGACCCAAAGGGTCCCCCTTTGTACTATTTTGGGATCGCGCGCCAAAAAAACGCTGTTTTTTTTTGGTCAAAATTTCCCAAAAAGTTCCTTAAAACGCCGTTATGTTTTGTGGTTATGTAAGTCAGGTTATCGTCTTTCTAGGAAACTTTATAGCTGCAGTTTTTGGTAGCAACTTTCTAACTTTAATTCTATCGTTGTGTAGGTGACTACTCACTTCGACAGCAAGGAGAATGTGTCTCGCAGTAGTAACAACTGGGTGACCCAATGGGACTCCCTCGTTACCCTGTTTGTGGGCTTCAGGAGGGACTTTGTGAGGAAGATACCCCCCATTGCAGAGCACCAGTACCCTTTCTCAGTTTTCCTCAGTCAGGTTAGTATCATCTAACGAGACCAAGAGAGCTAAAACTAAAAGCTCTAACTGACTGACTGGTTTAATTAATTTCAACAGAGCAATGGATTCCTGCCATCTTCGAACACATTGAGCAGGCCAATTTGAATTTTTAGACAAACCTGAGACATGAATTCTTAGACAATGTTCTTTTCTTCCATTGATACAAAAAAGCTCGCGGATATAGCGATTTTCCGATCCAAATTCTGCATCCAAAATGTTTTTTTTTTTAAATCAAGATTTTTTGCCGATCTTTTTTGTACAGAAGCTGCAGTAGGTTCGTTCACCGGGGAAGAGGAGACAGGTCGTTCCGGCTGTTTATTCTGGTTGCCTAAAATTATCCATACTGCATTTAGCCTTATAGAAAGTGTGTAAAAAGTGTTCACGCTGACAGGTTTTGGTGCAGTTTAGAACATAAAAGATCATTTAAAACATTTGAAATTTGAATTACTTTACTAGCTACATATACAACGCCAAAAGCAATATATTATGCCTGGAGGGAGATCCTGAAGAGTAGTACTGCTCATCGAGTAGGATATCCTGGAGAGTAAAGAGAAGACAGCCAGCATGCATCAACTCAACAAACAAATTAAATTAAGGGCTGAAATTGAAAAACAGTTTGTAGAGGTCCTGATTGTATTTTAGGTAAGTTTGAAAAAACTGTTTATAGAGTCTCAAACAACTAACTTCTGAGATTTCATGTATATTAACAGGTATCAAGTCATTTTGTTTTAAATAGTTAAAAGCCTGCACAAGTCTAACTATAAGCGATCTCTGTTTAGCGGTAGTAGAAAATTTTGCCACTTTAATTAAGCCTTTCGCTTTGCTCCTGGTTTATGGTCCACTTTTTTGGGAGTAAATCTGAGGCAGAAAACCATTTTTTCTGTCCGATCGCAATTCCATAAACAAGTACTTAAACATCTCAAAAAAAGTATAAATCAAAAACAGTAAGCAACTTGTTTTCGTCCATAATTTCTTTAATTGATTCATATCTACGTTTAAAAAAATTGCTCTCAAGATTTTTTTGTAGTTTCATTACCTCGGTAAGGTGAGATTGGGATGTATTGCCGTATATTAAAATTCCATCAGTGATTGTAGGATTTACATATGCTTTGTAGAAGCGAAGCATCTGCTGTTTAAAAAAACATACCTAGCTTTCCAGACAATGCCACAAAATTTAGTTAACTTTTTGCAAACATGTTCAATGTGAAATTTGAAAGTAAGTTTCTTATCAACAAAAATGCCCAAATATTTACACACATTTGTAATTTGAACTGTAGTACCAAAAGCAAAGTAATCTTTTGAAAAATTAATACCAAATTTCATTATTTGAGTTCTACCAGGTTTGACACGAAGTCCATTCGTTTTGAACCATCTATCCACTTTATTTAACGAACTATCAAAGCTATCGCAACAGTTTTTTTCTGCATTGCAGATTGTAGTATCATCAGCAAACAGAACAACCTCAGATCCTTCAGCAATTTTCGGAAGATCATTTATATATATTAAAAACAAAAACGGACCTAAAACTGACCCTTGCGGTACTCCACACGACATAGAGCGACTAGAAGATATTTTATTATCAGTTTGAACAAATTGAAACCGGTTTGTAAAGTAGTTTTTCAGAAGACAAAAAATCCGGCCTATAAAGCCGTATTTTTCCAATTTTGCCAAAAGAAGATCATGATTTATGGTATCAAATGCTTTTTTGAGATCAACAAGGCATGATTGACCAAACAATTTTTTGTCCCATCCCTCTCTAATAATTTCGGTGAATTCGATTAATGCGTCCACGCATGACTTTTTTTTGAAATCCAAATTGTTTTTCATAAAGAATCTTCTGCTTGTTAGCAAAGTTATACATTCTATTGAATATTATCCTTTCGAAAATTTTGCTGAGTGAACTGAGTAAACTAATAGGTCTATAATTTTCCAAAGATTCTTTTACTCCTCCCTTAAAAAGGGGAATAACATGTTTTCCTAAATCAATTTTCCAGCAAAATAATGAGGTTAGAGAACCGTACAAGACGTTAAACATTACTGCCTATTTTTGCAATTGCTCGCGCAATCTAATTCTGTTTAATGATAGTTTTTTCTCTTTCTTTTATAGGTCGGGGGAGATGACCCACCCACCTTCGAGGGAGAGCACAAGACACAGCACCTGAGTGTAATGTTCAAACAACAGTTTCAGATCAAGTTCACATCCAATTGCACTCGACACGAGTGGCTCTTCGAGGTAAATTCAAAACAAGCCGTTATTTTATGTAGAGTATGTAGATTTTTTGATTTTTAACATAAAAGCGAGCTGGCGAGGGTAGTTGTTTTGGCATTTACGCTTTACCTTTTTTAAGAGGCAAAGTGTTGGTTTGCGAAATCAGTATGTGCAATCATTAAGTTGAAGGAGGGCTGTTTGGATCAGTCTTTGTCTAGCCTGATGGCATTTTGGGATCAAATATCATGTTTTGATTGTTGCTATTTTGTTCATGGGCTTGAAAATAAAATTATCATCAGTTTAAGAGTTTAAGGAAAGATGGGTATATCGACTGCTGGAATTTAATGAATGTCCGTGTTTGAGAGTGATATGTTCCTTTGCACAAGCGTTTTACTGAGGTTGAATTGAAAGAAAGAACATGGAGTAAAGCGTAAATGATGACTTTTGTAGAGAATTCTTCTAATATGCGCATCTGTTACTCGTTTTTTTTTTGTTGTGGAGGTTGCTATGATGTTTTCGGTTGCACGTTGAACATGTTTGCTTTGAGGGACAATCTTGCAACACAAGTATTCGTCAGCGAATGATGTAATGATTTTTTGATAGTTTTGTTTCTTTTGTCTAGTCTTTGTGTTTGTCACAGTGGGAAGAATGTTGGTATCAGTTGTTGAATGCGTAAAGTCAGCAGTTTTTTTGTTGGTATCTTTTGTTTTTGGCTGGTGCTAGCGCACTATTTCAATTTGACTGTGGTTGCTTGAAGTGGTTGATTTTAGATGGTTGCCTAGATGGTCGAGTTAATGTCTTTCTGAAGTATAGATGTCTGAAAACTTTCAACAGGGGCGCTGACAAAAAGAAGGACTGCTAGTATATGTCTTGATGATGCGATCAATCGATGGCGATTGAAAAATCTGTAGTCGGCTGATGAAGTTGCTCACAAGGATCTTGAGTCTTCCAAAGCTTCTTTTAAAATCATGTGGAGCTTTCATGTACAGTGCTGATTTAAATTAACCGGAAAAAACGAGCTAAACTTGAAATTTACAACACCTTTTTCTCAAATTGAGTTGAGTTTAAGTGAAAACTTAAGAAGACAAAACTTGCTTAATTTTTAGCAGAATTAGTATGATGTAATTTGTTTTGCGAAATTCGATCCCAAAATTTTACCCCAAAAATGGGGCTTTTTGCCTTTCTTAGTTAATCAAAAATCACGCCAAAAATACGGAGTCGAGCACAGAAACAGTTATATCAAAGTGAGCTCAACAAACTTTAAGAAGGTATATTCTCCAAAAAAAGTTTGCAAACCGTTTAAAAATTGGTTTTAAATAAAAGTTAGGTATTTTATATAGTAAAAACGACCTTTTTTGTCTATTAAACAAAAATAAATTAATTTATACAATGTTTTGGAGAATATACATTTCTCAAAGTTTGTTGGGCTACGTAAGGGGCTCAATTTGATATAATTGCCTTTGTGATCAACCGGGCATTTTTGGCGTGATATTTGATTAACTAAGAAAAGCCAAAAAGGCCCATTTTTGCATTTTTGGGGTAAATTTTTGGGACCGAATTTCGCAAAACAAATTACACCATATTAATTCTGCTAAAAATTTAAGCAAGTTTTGTCTTCATAAGTTTTCACCTACACTCAACCCAAGTTGAGAAAAAGGCGTTTTAAATTTCAAGTTTAACGCGTTTTGTCCGGTTCATTTAAATCAGCACTGTACATTGAACAGTTACATAAAAATTGGCTACTGACTGGTTTTCTTTTCCTTTTGGTAAAAGTTGGAGATTATTCAATTGCACTGATGGTTCAATTGCACGAAGCCTCTTTTGAGTTCATGTGGGGCTTTCATGTACATTGAACTGTTACATGAAAATCGTCTACTGACTGGTTTTCTTTTACTTTTGGTAAAAGTTGGAGATGATTCAATTGCACTGATGGTTCAATTGCACGAAGCTTCTTTTGAGTTCATGTGGGGCTTTCATGTACATTGAACTGTTACATGAAAATCGGCTACTGACTGGTTTTCTTTTCCTTTTGGTAAAGATTGGAGAAGTTTCAATTGCAGTGATGGTTCAATTGCACGAAGCTTCTTTTAAGTTCAGGTGGGGCTTTCATGTACATTGAACTGTTACATGAAAATCGGCTACTGACTGGTTTTTTTCCTTTTGGTAAAAATTGGAGATGATTCAATTGCACTGATGGTTCAATTGCACGAAGCTTCTCTTAAGTTCATGTGGGGCTTTCATGTACATTGAACTAATACATGAAAATCGTCTACTGACTGGTTTTCTTTTCCTTTTGGTAAAGATTGGAGAAGATTCAATTGCACTGATGGTTCAATTGCACGAAGCTTCTTTTAAGTTCAGTTGGGGCTTTCATGTACATTGAACTGTTACATGAAAATCGGCTACTGACTGGTTTTTTTTCCTTTTGGTAAAAATTGGAGATGATTCAATTGCACTGATGGTTCAATTGCACGAAGCTTCTCTTAAGTTCATGTGGGGCTTTCATGTACATTGAACTGTTACATGAAAATCGTCTACTGCCTGGTTTTCTTTTCCTTTTGGTAAAGATTGGAGAAGATTCAATTGCACTGATGGTTCAATTGCACGAAGCTTCTTTTGAGTTCATGTGGGGCTCTCATGTACATTGAACTGTTACATGAAAATCGTCTACTGACTGGTTTTCTTTTCCTTTTGGTAAAGATTGGAGAAGATTCAATTGCACTGATGGTTCAATTGCACGAAGCTTCTTTTGAGTTCATGTGGGGCTTTCATGTACATTGAACTGTTACATGAAAATCGTCTACTGACTGGTTTTCTTTTCCTTTTGGTAAAGATTGGAGAAGATTCAATTGCACTGAAGGTTCAATTGCACGAAGCTTCTTTTGAGTTCATGTGGGGCTTTCATGTACATTGAACTGTTACATGAAAATCGGCTACTGACTGGTTTTCTTTTCCTTTTGGTAAAAATTGGAGATGATTCAATTGCACTGATGGTTCAATTGCACGAAGCTTCTTTTGAGTTCATGTGGGGCTTTCATGTACATTGAACTGTTACATGAAAATCGGCTACTGACTGGTTTGCTTTTCCTTTTGGTAAAAATTGGAGATGATTCAATTGCACTGATGGTTCAATTGCACGAAGCTTCTTTTAAGTTCATGTGGGGCTTTCGTGTACATTGAAAATCGGCTACTGACTGGTTTTATTTCCCTTTTGGTAAAGTTTGCAGGTGATTCAATTGCTCTGGTTGATTTTGCACTGAGTAATGAAACATTCGATGTTTTGTGCTATTTTGATTTAGTCACCACCAACATTTCTAAATCTAAAATATGGAAATCTCTACTGATTGAAGCTGGTGCAGATGATGCTGCCACTGCCTTTCTTGATTTTTTGAAAGAGTACATATTTTCAGTTGCATATGGTGTTATCAAGCTCTTTGATGTTTCAAAGCCGTTCCTTGAGTCGGTTGGTGGCGTCTGATTAGTTGTTCCGTCGATGGGCTGGTGTTGTTATGTCATGCAGATGGATGTATTTAATGCAGAAGTTGCTGCTGTCATACAAGCTGGTATGGTGCACGAAATATTGCAGCAGATTTGGACGCGCGGCTTACGGATTTGATTGTCTGCTCAGCCAGGCTATTGTTGCTCCGTTGTTGTTCAGTTGATCTTCAACTCCGCTGTAAGTGCCCTTGATTTTACTGCTAATTGTATTGTTCAATAGATTATCAGCAATATTTTGACCAGTTGTTTGTTGTGCGTCTGTTTTTTTTTCGATGATGCTGATGTCCGCATTTTCATCTTTTGTTGCTTTTTGCATTCACGAGTTGCTTTTTTCAGACGTTTCAAACCGGAATTGCGCTGAAAATGAATTTTTTTATAGTTAGTTTCGGCTGGTAATGTTGATGGTTAAGTTTTCCTGTTGCTGTTGTGTGCTAAAGGTCAAACCCAGAGAGTGAGAAGAGAGCTGAACAAAATAAGTTATAATGTAAATCAGAGATGTCACATACAAATAATATAAATCGTCGAGAAAAATATAATTACAGGCTTCTCTGATGCCATAGATGAATAATTAAAAAAAATGCGAGGATCAAGATTGCACTATCATATTAGAGCAGCAGTAAGTTTTGCAGTGAAGATAAATTTTGAGTTGAAATTAAGAGAAATCAAACGGTTTTAATGGAATTGCTCCCAAAAAACGCCATAGTAACGATTTTTATGAAATTTTTTGTTTAATTGTGTAACTAAACATTGTTTTCATTTTTTTCGTTAGTTATTTTGTTCAGTTTTCATAGTTGAATCAAGTCGTTTTCAAAATGTTTTGTTTCTGTTATTGGATGTCGGAGTTGCATGTCGGAAGTCAATTGTTCGAACTTGTCCTGAACTGGTTGATTTGAGGAAGCTGTTGTAAAATCGGGTTTTCATCGGTTTTAAAGGTTTGCATATCATTAAGGCTTGTTTCTTTCTGCTTTTTATCTGACTAGTGATTTATTTAGTTCTACCTTAGCTTTGGATACTGAAGGTTGTGCCGGCTCGACGATTTATGTTATTTGTATCGGATTCTGGAGGTTGTGGGTATTAGGTTTTGCCAGAGAGACACATTTTCCTTGGTAATATCTTTTTTTTTGCAGTATCATTGCTTTTTCGCTTCTTAGAATAAAACTTGCCGTTTGTTGCTGGTGTTTGTAAAATGCGACTTCGTCTCTGAACAAATTTTTTGAATATTTTTTTTGGATTAAATGTTGTTCGATCTAGATGAATTGGTCTCTCATTTGGTTTCGATGCTCCAGTAGAATTGTTTGCTTTAGTCGTCTTTCGACGCTGAAAGTAAAATGCTATATAAATAACAAGGTTAAAAAACAATGCCTGCAAAAGTTATATTTTTATGAATTTATGTAATTTTTTTACACATTGATACACTTTTTGTGTTTTTTTTTTAAAAAACGAACCCCCATGCAGTAGCTTGTTCTCAAAATGCATTTCTTAATGATGTGTCCCGTTTTTCAAAAAAAAACTGTCAAATCAAAATG